GCTGTGTGCAAAGATAGGGAGATTTATATATTGGACTTTTATATTTATTTTATCTTATATATTTATTGGACACATCATGAGTTGTATTTGAATTTACACACTTGCAATATTTATAATTTATTTGATATTTAATATATCAATATCTAATATTCAATATCTTTCATTCATTAGATAAGAACTATGTAATAATTTAATATATCAAGTAGTGAGTAAATGATATGTTTATTGGTTTTCAATGTTATAGGATATGCTGTCTCAAACCATAGGTGTACTTTATTACATAGTGTGAGATCAAAATCCACATCTCACACAAATCTATTGATTTGGTTTATCTTGTTTGATGGCAGTATCCAATTATGTAATTCTTTGATTACTTTCTCTCAATAATAGCACTCCAGCTATTTATTTATTTACAGGGCAAGTTTCCTTACTTCCCTTCTGGTAACGTTTTCTCAGCAGTCCTTTGTTATCTGCCTGAGCTGGCACATTTCAATGATATTTATAATATCTCAAGTATCCGCTGTGATACTTTATACACTTATTATTATATTTATGGCTCAGTCTCATAACTGACCTCACCTAGCTAGGATTTCCACTACTTAGGAGTTGGACTAATCTAAATAAAAATAAAGAAATAAAGTTAAAGAAAATACACACACAACTATACTTATTAAAGGTGTCCCCTTGGTAAGATAGTAATTTATTAATAATTGAGTTAGAGTGAAAGGTTTTTATATGGCTTTGGAAGCGGGTGAATTATTCCACTGGCAAGAGATTATTTTTTAAGAGGTATTTTATGTTTGTATTTTATTATTAAGATGTTATTGTTATTACAAGATAAAAGTTAAGAATCAACTAACTGATTATTACATGAAAGAGAAATTTTCAATGTATTTATACATGTTAAAAGTTCTATCATCTAGTTCTCCAACTTTGTTGAAATCCTAATTTATACTAATTAATATATTCCTTAATTATTATTAAAACCTTCCATGTAGAATTATTTTCAAGTAACTTCTAGTCAATGTGAGTCATGTAAAATTCTTTTGTTTAAATATTATTCTGAGATTTGGTAATCCATTACACTTTAGAATGTTGGAATATTTATATCTCCAATATTTGGGTTATTTTCCGAAAGCTATTTATTTCATTGGTGTGCCTTATTAATTAGTGTAACATTTATTAAATTAAACTGGTTTATTTCTTGTTGAGTTATTCCGTGATAATCGCTTCCAAATTTTCACTTAGTGATACACGTAAATCATTTCCCATTTATATGTTCGTTTCCCGTGATCTATAATTTACTATTTTACAATATGTATGTATTCATTTTGAAATCTTTTGCTTTTTTAGGTTGATTTGGTGTCAATTGGTTTTGTAAGCAACTTTTGTTTTTGTTCAATGTGTGGACTTCTCTTTTCAATATTTTCTTTCATGAAGGACTGACATAAACTGGTATTAGTAAAAAGCAATGAATAAATGGACAAAACTTTGTTATACTCACAAAAAATTTAAGACATGTTATAATTGCTTTGCAAAGAATGGGGATATCCTGCCAAATTGCAGGGATCTTGAAAGTTACATATTCACAAAGACAATATGACTTCTGGTGTATCGTTAATCAAAACAAAGACACTTCAGTGCGATGGCAAAAGCACTGAAATTTGCAAGGTCTTTGTGATCATATATTCCATCTTTAAAGTGAAGAATTATTCATTGGTTCAACACATCTTGCATTGTTCTGACCAATTTATAATCATGAATGTGTAATTGAGTAACATCATCAAAGTCCGGAGGTCCTGTCTGTTCATATAGGAATATTTCTTCACAGCTTTGCCAGAGATGAGCAAGCCCATCTGCACACTTTGCTTCTAAAACTTTATCAATGATTGGATTTATGTTTGCATTACAACAATCTTTGCTACTTTCTACTAGGACTTCAAGGCTATAACAGTGTAATTTCACAAAGTTAATGAACATTTTTCTAGGGTGGATAATCGGAACTTACATTCTCCAGTCAATGTTATATATAGTCTTCAGTGTATTCTCTAATATCAGACTTATAAACTGTGCATTGTACTGATTTTCTTGAAGGTCACCTGACTTTAGTATGTTGTGCAGTGCTTCAAAAGCTTTGATACTGTTGTATGTGAAATTGAAATATTATGGAGTGGGGTGAAATTCTGATTGGCTAATTTGAATTTCACATATGGGTGTGGACAATAGAAACGAACCATGTTGTGAAAAAAGCAATTTTGAGTTAGTATTACTATTATATGTAATTCCTCATGTAGAACATTTTTAGTTTAGAAACCATACCCACTTTGCTTAATAAAACTTTGAGATACCCTCCATTAAAGTTTTAAAAACTATAATAAATTACTTGAAATGCAGATCTTTTTTTTAAATTTTCTCAAAACATCATTTTCACAACATGGTCTGTTTCTATTCTCCAGACCCCATATGTGAATTGTGAATTCACATAATTTCACTTTCATGTACAACAATACTAAAAAGAATTCAAAATCATGATATTATAACATTCTACTTGCAATAGATAAAGGGTAATAAAATAAAGGAAAACATACTATGTCCCAAGAATATTGTAGATTGCATCTATCAGGTCTTTGAGATCTTTGTTTTTTTGTTGGTTTCTTCACTATAGAGTTCATGCCAAACCTTTGTCCATTCTTTCAGACTTTTTTTGTCATCATTGGAAAAATGAGTAATGAAGATAATCAAACCAAAAACATTTCATCTTTCCCAGATTTTATGACATACCTTGAAGAATTGTTGCATAAAACTTTCCCAATCCTTGGGTAGATTATGTTTGGGGGTATGTATTTAGCACAAATTTGTTCCAAGATTCTTCTGCAATTTCATTTGTGAAGTGTGAAGTAGGTATCATATCCATAATGTTGCTATGACTATGGTTGCTTGCCAAAACTCTTCTGGAAATCAATCAGCAGAGTTTCAGCAGGTAACATACTAATTGTTTGTTAGAGTTTCGGCAGAGCTTCGCATTTAGGGATTTTGACAATTAGCACAGTTCAGCAGATTACACACTAATTGTTAATTAGAGTTTCAGCAGAGTTTCAGCAGTCATTAGAGGTTTTAGAAAGCAACCTTAGCTATGACATAGACTGATTAAAAGCCAATAATAATGAGTAAGATTACTATTTCGAGTCCATATCAGTTACAGGAGCTGATTCTACTCACTTAAAAATGTTGTTACATTAATCTATGAAAATCTTCACCATGTCAATGTTGTCTACTGTCAACAGAGTCTTTCTAATTTACCAACCATTGATTCTACCACTCCTTTCAAATAATTCTCCAAATCTGTAATTCAAACAATTGTGTCAGCCACTTAACGAACCTGTAGCACACATTCATTTGCAATGTACCACTAGCTATAGCATTTCTTCCTCATTCCTTTCAATTGTTGTTGATTCTTCATCCTGTAGATTGTTTTTACACTTGATGATTTCAAAAATAATATATAGTAATAATAATTAATCATTTATAGGGGCCTACCTTGCCCTACTTTTCTTCATTCTCCAATGTAATATTTGTTCTGGCATATGATATTTACTAGATTCTGAATAACCATTCTGTTTTTGACTAAATGTTACAATACCTTTAGTAATTTCTTGATGAGCTTTCATTGTTGATTTCACATGATTTCAAGTTTGGGAAACCTATAGCATAGCATATCAAAAAGAGTTGGAATAGACATTGTAAACAACAACATATAAAAACAAAGTGGTACCTTAATACATTCTATCTCAGCCAACTTAATAGTCTTCTCATGTTCAATCAGCTCTAATTTCTGCTTGACCTGATAATGAGCCTCAATCCATTGAAAGTAGCCTGTTGTAATTTTTGAGGATTTCCATTTCTGATATCATAAACAAGAAACAATATAATTAACAAGAAAAATCACCCAATAACACATAAATTCATTCCCTAAAAAGTACACAAGGCCATGGCGAACTAATAGTTCAACACAGGACAACTAATAGATCTCCAGTGTGCCACAGGAGGCTAGAGAGAAGGACAGACTAATAGTCGATCTTCCAGTTGACTAATAGACCTCTGGCTCAGTCCAACATCTCCATTACCTCTTCAGATTTGTATCAACAGAAATAACTAATAGATATTTCATGATGCATACAATCCTATCCTAAACAGATGCTATCTCATACATAATACATCACCTGAAAGTTATTGTACAGAACACTTGCCTTCTGCCAAACACTCTCCTTAGTTGTATTGTTGTTGATAATTCTCTAAGTCCTTTCTTGATGTAGTCTAGAATCTTCTGTTTATTATTCTTGAAACTCTCACATGACGAGCACCAATTAGCAAATCCTTCAAGGCTCCACAGCTCTGGCAAAATAATTTGTAAATAATCTTCAGTCTTGGTCATAGTGTAGTCTGATAATAGTAGTAGTCAGGAGAAAAAATTTCACAAGCAGATGGAGGTTAAAGAATAATAATTTTTTGAAGTTACTCCCAAATTTTTCTCTTCAAAAAAAGATAGCCAGCTCATAGACATTCATTGTCTAAAACAATTACAAATAGATAAGAATAGAGAGGTTAATGTGTATACAAATTATGGGCTATCAATTATAACAAAATAAAAAATAAAAAATTTTCAAATTTTCATGACAAAAATAGCACATACTAAAAGTCTTCATTTTTCATCATCCAAATACAATTAATTCAACCATCCATTCCTACATGTAATTTTTTCATTATAAAGAGTGAACTGTAGGTGAAGATTAGAAGTTTTAAATTATTTTATTGAAATTTGTCAACCAATATTTTCTTAGCTCAAAGGTTCATCCCAAAAAGCACTTTCAAATAAAAAACTTCTTCCATATAGTTTGCCAACTATTAATAAATGGATGATTGTATAAATATACATATTAAATTTTCGAAATAAAAAAATTTTTTTTTTTGAAATTATATATAAACCAACAAAAATAAGCCATTAGTAATTCACTCATTCATTAATCCTTAATCCTTGATCCATTATAATGAATTCATTTAAAATTAACCGTGTTTTTATATTTACCTGAATGTGAAGATCTACTTTGTTGATACTTTATTTTTTTTTTTTTTTTTTGACATTAAATTAACATTAAATTAAGAATAGATGAAAAGTCTGTGTTCAGTTTATTACAAAAAGTCTTGTAAATCTTGACCTAAGAAATGCAAATAAGGAAATTGTTTGCATAAAAAACTATGAACCTTTCTTATATATATAGCTTTTTGGATAATTGGGTGGATTAAGAGTAATTATGATTGGCATGTATTTTAAAAATGATCTTATGTAAAAAAAAAAAATGTACATTTGATACATGAGACTCAGCTGCAATAATTAAAAAAAAATTTATTTTCTGTTCTGTTACACTAAAACAAGCCTTTCAATTTCTTGTTGGTGAATTTTTAGATAACAAATAAATAAATGATAATAATAATACATCTCGGAATTTGGTATATAACTTCTTCGAGACATGATTGTTTGCTTTGTAAAAAATGTATTCATCTTGATAATATTTATGCAGAGAAAAAGTTGCAATGGAGTGGTATTATCTTCCTTAATTTATAAAATTTTGATTTAACTGCAAGCAGGCAAAAAAAATCTTCCTCTTGAGTGTGTTTCTCATATATAAAATTTGTTATGATGAGGGTTCATTATAATGAGGTTTGACTATACAGCAATAAAAAATCTAAAAAAAAAGAAAAATATAAAATGAATTTTTTAGATCTTTTTAAATTCAAATCATATCCATATAACTTGAAAAAATTTTATAATAAAGGATGGAAGATGATTTCGAAATTGTAAGAGGTATTTATTCCCAAGTGTAGTCCTCCACTTCAAGTGAAGTTTATTTTTAAGTGTAGTCTTCCACTATTTCCCTTCATTTAAAAATAATGTCTTGCTTGAAGTTCCTCCCTCACTTGGGAAAGATGTCTCTTCTTTTCTCTGTACATACCTACCTTATGCATATAAATTTATCTATTAAATATAACTTATTAATGATTAGAGTGTTGTTCAAGCCCAGCATTATCCATTTTTGTGGGGTTCTGATCATACAGATAAAAACGCAGCTTATTTTGAAGAATGGATAAAAAATTAAAATATTTTTTTGTTTTGGAATAGAAATGAATATATCATTATAGCAAATGTTTCCACAGTAAAAAATCTAGATGTAATTATAAAAGTCACACCACAAATAAGATTGTTTATATATCAGGTGTTCTAAATGAAATTCCTTTACAACAAACAGTATCTCAATAGACAAAAATATCTTCAAAAATGGGACTTGGTTTGAACATATAATTTCACTTCCACTAAAGTGAGTTTTTTAATATTGTATTGATTCATAATCATACTATCATTATATTATTAAATTTATAATAAATTTTCTTTATTAAAAATAAACAGAGTAAATCGAAATCAAAAGGTTAAAAAAATTATTCTTCTAAATAAAAATTGTTTTCTATTATTTATAATATTGTATTAATAATAATGTAATTCAAATAAATTGATTTCTTGTAATGGGTAGGAAATTAGATCACAGACAGCAAAAGCAAGTTGTCAAAATCTTATTTTATTTAAGAATAAAAGATAAAGATTAGAATTATACATATTTGTTTTTTTTTCCTGTATATTAAAAAAAGGTGGTAGTGGTGACTATTGATCTACTCTAGTTAATATAAAAAATCACACAAATTCGGCAAATGATAAATGCATTAACCCTTTTTATTGAAAAATTCAATAAATATGAATTTATTATATATATGTTAAAATAATAAGTAACATCAATGACATTTCTAATAAATATAATTATAAACATTTTAAACCATATTAGTAACATTAATAAAATTCAATTAACCATCTATTTAATTTTGCTTTACATTACATAATCTAATAAGCTATCATTACTTAAATTCGATTTAGAGGCATTATCATTTAATATAGAAATGTCATCATTTAATATTCTGCTTGTATGATATGCCAATGGATGTGATTTGTGGATTAGTTGTGAAATACCACCATTGCTATTACCACCACCATTTTCCCAAAGGCTTTCATCTTTAAATTTAATATCAGCAAATAACAAAAGCTCCATAATAGTCGGTCTCTTGGTTGGATCCATATCCCAACACCTTTGCATCATTTGCACATAATCATCAGGCATTTCAGGTAGTATTGGTGGTCGTAAGCCTGCACATACATTAAACATTAAGTGATGATTATGAGCTCTGTCAGCAAATGGTGGATGGCCTGCAAAAATTTCCCACATTAACATCCCAACACTATAGATATCAGATTCTTTTGTGTTCTTTTTGCCTCTAAATAGTTCTGGTGCAATATATGATATGATTCCATAGATTTTATTTGATGATTTTTCATCAACTGGTCCACATAAACCCAAATCTGTAATACAACTACTGCCGTCTTCGTTGATTAATATATTACCACTGTGCAGATCGCAATGAATTAAATCCTTTTCATGTATGTAATGTAATGCATAACACAAGTAGGCAAAAATGGTAATTCTGTCTTTTAATGTTAAATCTGAATGATTTTCTTGTAAATAATTTTTTAAATTTCCTCGTGGAAAATAACTAAGAACCATTACATAATTTCCATCTTCTGGGGATTTGGTTATGCCATAACAAGGAGCAACTGAATTTGAATTAATTTTACAATAATTCAATGCCTGTAATTAAATAAACAAGTCAATCAATCAATTAATTAATTAAAAAATAAAAGTGTTGTTTTAGTTTAGTTTTAGTTTGAATATGATCAATCACCTCATCAAAAAAAGATTTTCCTGGATTATTTGAATTATTTAATGATTTTAATACTACATCGTGAGCTCCAAAATAACAAAATTCCTTTTTATTTTCATCATAATCATAAATTCTTCCTCTTGTCCACATAGCGGTATAAATTGAACTGAAACCACCTTCTGTTAACTTTTTTATATTATAAAATTGTTCATAAGGTATCCATTCTATAATGCTACCTGGAAGAGATGAAAGCCGTTGACATTCTTGAACAAAACCATCAATCATCTCATTTCCAGATGACCAAGTATTGTAAAAACTCTGCAAGTGTAGACCAATACACGTTTCGCAAAATCTATCAGAGTATCTTGTTGTTTTACACTCGTTGCATTCTCTTGGTTTTCCTTGTTTGTTTCTTGCATTATTTAATTCAAAAACATAAATATATTTTTCTCTACAATATGTTTTTTCATTTTCTAATAGTTCATTGTTTTCTTCGACTAATTGTAAAAAATAACTTTTTTTATTTTCTCTGTCCAATGAAGTTGAAAAAACCTTATTAAACGTTCTGTTATATATTTTCGATGCAAATTCCTTTCTGTCTTGTGTTAACAACCTATCATGTGCCATTTCTATACCTATACTCCCAGCCTTAAAAAATACAGAATTTTTTTCAATATAAATACTATTGCTTTTGAAAAACTGTCGGTGAAATAATTTTGTTGCTTTTGTTTAAAAAAGACGATTTCGAAAAAGAAAATGATAATAATATTGTTGACTTAATTGTTCACTAATTTTTTTCAGTGGGATTGTGCTTTATTTATTAGAAAAAATAAAAGAGAATCAGCGAAAATTTCTCGCACAACAGATATAAAGGCAGAATTTGTTACTAATGAATTCATTTTATTTAGATGAGATAATAAATTGTTTTATTAAGTAATCATATACAAAGAAAGAAGAGTATCAAATTTAATGTCGCGTGATAATCTTTAATTGAATTGCAAATAATTTCTATAATTAATAAAAATTAACTAATTCAGGAAAAAAAAAAAAGAATATTAATGCAATGTTGCATAACGTACATAAATACCTTTAATAATTTATTAATAATATATTTTGATGTTGTTGTTTAGTTGATTTTTTTTCTCGTAAGAAAATAAAAAATAATTGATTAATTGATAACGATTAATGAAAAGCAATCGACTAGAATATTTGGATTTTAATGGTCGTGTAACCATAAATATGGTTTCTTTTAAACATAATAAGCCATAATAGTAGAACTAACAACACCAAAGATAATTGCGATGATAATAAACCACAATTCAGTTAATAAATTAAATAATAAATCAATTAATTGCTAAATTACAATGCTCCAAAGACTTCAACCGGTAGTAAACCAATAATTAATTTATACCAATCAAGAGTTTTTCTTTAACTATTACTAAAATTTCTTTTACAATTGTCACTATATTTCTTCTTTTGTTATTATATTTCTGCGTTCAAATCGTCTTTAGTGTCCGAGTTTGAAACACACACAGGAGGGTCAATATTAACTTGATGGTTTTTGGCTTTGAAGTTAATTGCGCATAATAGTGACATATAATGATATTTTATTAATAATAAAATTAAAACGCGCTTTAGTGTCCGAGTTGAAATACACATAGACAGGCCAATATTGGTACATAAGACAGGTTTGGTACAAGCTTTGATTTTGAAGTTTTAAAAGTGATGAAAATAGAAAACAAAGAAAAGGAAAGATCGTCGAAATCCTTTTATTGTTGAGTCACGGTGGATCTGTCACTAGTTTGATGACGAAGAGAGTTTTTTTTTATGTTAAAGTAGCTCTTGCAATTTTCATTTTTCAATTTTCCAAGATTTATATACTAATAGTTAATCCTGATAGAGAAAACTATTCGACCGTTAAAAAAAAGTTAAAAATGCGAATTATTATCACCAGAAAGAGTTGAGCAGAAAATCTGATTTACATAATAAAATTTTATACGCACATATAAAACCCACTATTGGTTTTTGTGCATAATTAATATAATATAAATAATGTTGATGTTTGTCAGTATTAGGGAAACCAAATTCCAGATAAACACGTTGTTGTTGTTATTCGTCATTATTAGTAGAAGCTATTTTGAACCCGGTTGTGCGAAAGTCAAAAGGTCTCGAAGCTAATTTTGACTTCCTTCTCTTAAAATAGTTTCATTCGATTCCTATTTTTTTTATATTCGAAAAAATCGGATTATTTCGGACGACCGAATTTAATAAAACTGGTTCCAACATCTGGCGTAAAGATCTTTGTTATTTACTATCTATTTTATTACTTGCACACTCAAACCTCGTTTCAACGAATCTTATTATAATTATTAAAACATATAAAATTCGTTGAGACGTGATTAGTTTAAATGAAATTTTCTTATTATTATGTGTTCCATAGATTCATAGAAACAAGGTCTGACTATATGTAACATCATTATATTATGGAGCAGCAAGTATAATAGCATTGAGTTTGAGTGCGTGTATTTCACCTGATCCTAATCGATTAAACTTCCTTTCCATAAAATCAAACTTTATATTATTATGATTGGGTTGAAACCAGTTCCAACCTCTACTTCTTTGATAATACTATTATTCTCAAAAAAAAATTCCATTTTCAAACTTTAAATTATATCATATAAAATGTTTATTTATACTGCTGTCAAAATTACTGTTGACGACGTTAAAACATTCAAAAGTATATTAGTCTATGCCATTGATGCTGCTAAAAGTGTTGGACCAATCACATTTGTTAGTATCTTTATAGAAGGAAGACTAAAATCAATAACCTCCGGATTCCTAATTGCAAAATTAGTAGCATATGCAGATATACTTCAGCACCTGGAAAATCAGCCAACCTGGTGGTGTGGAGTCTCAATTTCACAATATTTAAAACTTTTGTGTTCTCGGACTTGCTAATATTGCCGCTGCTGTTATTTTACTCTAAAAAAAGTATAGCTAATTTTTTTAAAAAAATATACCTTTTGTACAAATAAATCTAATAAATCTACAACTATAATAATATAATTGTATGCGTGAGAAGTGATGTTTTTTATTTTTTTTATAAAGGATTTTTGAGACTAATATAACAACAATAATAAGTTGTCTAAGGTGATCGACGAAATCCTAATTAATTAATCATAGAATCAAAATTCAAAGCCCTTGAAACCATCCGATGATGAATTACACCGATTATGCTTCTTTTTATAAAGTATGAAAATTTTTAATATAAAAAAAAGTTTAAATAAATATTTATTATTATTTATATAACGAACTTTTTTTTTTATTTTCCCATCCTTTATTTTTTTTCTCTCACATTTCAAAAAAAAAAAAAAATGGTATCTTCAGATAATGCTATTATTTTAAGACCGACAGGCGACCATATGCCACTTGTTGGTTTCGGTTCATGGGAATTACCTAATGACAAAGCTGCCGATAGTATTTATCAAGCTTTAAAAAATGATTATCGATTATTGGTAAATGTTTATATTTGAAATTATTTGTTTGTTTTATTTGTAATCTATTTAACGATTTGTGATTTTTTTTTTTTTGACGGATGGATGTAGGATTGTGCGGCCCTTTATGGTAATGAGAAAGAAATAGGTGATGGGATTAAGAAAGCGATCGATGATGGAATTGTTAAACGTGAGGATATTTTCATCACATCCAAGGTAATAAAAATAAACAAATAAACATATTTATTGTGATGAATTGTGATGAGCGAAGCCTTTTTTTAACTACTAGTTCGCAAATAGTTATGGAACACTTTTCATAAAAAAGAACATGTTAGACCAGCTCTTGAGAGAACCCTTAATGATCTTAAAGTAAAATATTTAGATCTTTACTTGATCCATTTCCCTATCTCTTTGAAACATGTTGATCCAAAAGAACGTTATCCTGCTGATTGGTATTACGATACCAAGAATAAGACTTGCATTCAAGAAAATGTCACCATTAGAGAAACATGGGAAGCCATGGAAGAATTGGTTGATTCTGGATTGGTTAGGGTGAGTGTATATATATATATACACAAGTATTTTGTATGTGTACGCATATGGCTTATTCACTTTCATCATATATTTATAGAACATTGGAATTTCTAATTTTAATGCAGCGTTGATAATGGACTTGTTGAAATATGCACGTGTCAAACCAGCGGTCCTACAAATAGAACATCATCCATACTTGACGCAAGAACAATTGGTAGATTATGCAAAATCTCAAGGTTTGGCAGTGAATGCCTACTCATCTATACGTTCAAGTAGTTATGGACCGAAAAAAGACGAGAACTCTCCTCAATTGTTAAAAGAACCTATATTGGAACAGATTGCAAAGAAATATAACAGATCTACTGCTCAGGTTTGTCTTTTTTTTCATATTAAATATATATTGGGAATGAATGGTAATAATTTCAGTATTAATAATAATAATAATAATAATAATATATTTATGCAATCCTCGTTATTGTAATGATAGGTGGCACTTCGTTGGGCAGTTCAACGTAATATCGTGGTTATACCAAAATCAACTAATCCAAGTAGACTTGTTGAAAATCGTAAAGTCATAGAATTTACTTTGACCGACGAGGAAGTTAAAGCAATCTCTTCATTGGACAGAAAATTAAGATTCAATGATCCCGGTACAACATTTGGAATTCCTATTTTCGCTTGAATAATTTACTTTTTTGAGAGGCGAATTCCTTATTTGCTTAATAATATGATAATTTTAAAATAAAAAAGTTCCGTAAATACATGTATAAATTTAATAATATAATAATTAATAATGTTAAAAATAAAATTTAAAAGCGTTTTGTCCGAGTTGTGAAGGCGATGTGGATCAAAATTTCTCTATTAATTAATAATAATAATGGTACAGCATATTTACTGATATCAATATTGCTTTCAAATGTTCGTGATTTCATTGTTGTTGACTCAGAAATTGCTGAAAATAGTTTTACAAAAAGCAGATATTAAAAAAAATTTCTTATTTGCATTCTTTTTTTTTTTTTTTTTTTTAGAATAAAAATTTTTATTGAAATGCAATCTTCTTCAGTTGGCTGTGACCCACCATCACAACCAACTTCTTCAAATGTAAGAAGATATAAGCCATTCTGGGATAAATTCACTCAAAAACTCACAAGTTAGTGTTATTTACCCTTAAAAACTAATAGCGCTCAAGTTTACGGTGTGGAAAATTTAATAAAGGATAGGAAAGGACCTAAACCTTTTAAAATAGACATTATAATTATTTTTGTTGAATGAATTAATTGAATCATCTAGCTTTGAATCAAATATACATTGTGTTTTAAAAAATAACCAAGTTTAGATAGAAAATTTCTTGTTTAGGAGTTTTTTTTTGTTATTTAAACTAAAATGTATTTTTAATTTTATATAAAGTATTACCTTTTATTGAAACCCAAAACAAAAAGGTTACTTTGGATGCTTGTTAATTGAACAGGTTTACTATGATGATAGTCATCTACGACCTGACCGTGTGAATTTGATAATAATAATAATAAATTTTGGGATGGGTGTTACAAAATTTCTGATTGGTTGAATTGAATTTCACGGATAAATAAAATATTCTGTTTAACCGTTGGGAATTATTATTATTATTATGCACAGCCTCAATAAAATCCGTGTTCCCTGTTCCTTGTTGTACAATACTTGTAGGTAACGGAAATCTATTTCAAGAAGTGACTGGTTCAGATGAATTCGATGAAGACAAGTTGTTCTTTGGACTGGATAAATATTTTGTTGTGGTTGATTGCCATTATTAGTAGAAGTTTGCTTTTTGAACTGGATAAATACTTTGTTGTTAATATTATTAGTAGAAGAAGCTATCCTTTGAACTGGACAAATACTTTGCCGTCGTTGTTGTTTGTCATTATTAGTAGAAGCTATTTTTTGAATCGGATGGAACACTTTGTCAATTCCCCAAACTCTCGATTTTTAACTGCGTCAAAAAATCACCATCTGATTGAGTCGAGTACTTTTTTTTGATAAAAAAATTAAAAAAAAAAATATTTCCAAAAAAGATAATAAAAATGAGAAAAAAATTGTTTCCAAATCTGAAAATGAATGAAGAAAAACAAAAAATATATATATTTGGTTTCTCTCTGATTGTAAAAATCCTTTTATGGATAGATCGACATTACACACTTTTAATATAATATTGTAAAACCACATAGAAACGTGACGCTGTACAGACTATATAACACCACCTCATAACATCCAAAATTTTGATGATCTACATTTTGACTTAACGCGTAACATAAATATATTGCAACAGTAAATAAATAAATAACATTTCTATCATTTATCATTAAGGTGTAAGCCGAAAAAATTTTGGTCCTTGTATAATATGTGGTAATCAAGATATATATTATATTATATGTTGTTAAGTATATCAATATAATTGGGTTTTGGTGAAAAAAAATTATGAAATCAATCCTCTTGTCGATCTAATCAGTCCTGACGAAAGAAAGAAAATTTCTTCTAAAAATTTTCTTTGAATTTAGACAAGTAATAAAAATAAACGAATTATTTTGCGTGAATGATTTTCATTGGTTAATTTCATTTGATTTTTGTGATACGATAATAGCCAATAATCGGATTTTTATCGGGACTATATTGTGCCTGGAGTGTCACGTTACACGTATCAAAACATTAGCTTTTACCATTTTGATACGTGTAACGTGTGATAAGTGTCTCCACATTTTTTCATATCTTAATTTTTCTTTCCATATTTGGTTAGTAGTTTCTACAGACAATTGATAATACATTATTATTATTATTATTAAAACGATGCAAGATGCAACAATGCACTCTTTTAATCTCGAACCACTTTTTCAATTGATCCACCTCAGATTGTTGTTTTTCATATTAAATCTAGCTCTAGAATTTTTTCAAGTACGTCCTGGTTAATAATAATAATCGAGCACCTTTGCATGAAAAGATGTGCCATACTCTTAAAGAATGCTTCTTGGAGCAGTACGCAATATGGCAATTCAAAAATAATTCAATTCTGAATTTTTGGCATTGCCGTTTTCTACCATGTTCCCTTTTCTTAATTGTAAAAACAATGTCATCATTGACACTATCGCCGTCAACATCGTCCATCAATTATCAACAGCGAAACGAGCAACTCGAGCACCAGTGCGAAAAAAAGAGAGTTTGTAGTGGTTTTTTTTTTGTTGAAGTGCGCACACACGCACACACAATAAATGATTTTTTTTTCACATATAGATATACCCAAAAGTATCCGGACAAAGTTTTTTAAATTTTTAGATAATAAAAAACATCGTCTTGTAGCTTAGACTCTTATGAATGAATATACATATACGCAAAATTTGATTTTTGTACCATTTTTATTAAATTAGTGATGAAATTGACTATGTTAATTGTTTTAAAAAATTTTCAAAACGACATAGTTGTTTATTCAAGACTTTTATTATCATCCCACATGTCAAAGTTCAGATATGATTAGTGTGTATGTATGAATGTTTTTCCATTTTAATTAATACGGGGAAAAAAAAAATTGATTAACATTTTTTTAATTTGGTTTAATGAAAATGATGATGATAGAGAAGCATCAATATATTCACAAGAATCTAGGTACAAACTGATATGAAGTTTTCATCTATCATGCAAGATTTAATATGGAATTATTAAAAAAAATTGTCTAGAGAGTGTAACGAGTGTAATAAACAATTTGTACAAATCAATGAATCTTAATAATTATTTAATTGTTTTGTAATCAATACACAGTTAAACTGTTTAACAATATTAATAATACCCTTTCTTGTGCAATGTTTAACAAACATAAGATGGATTAGTCCGATAAAAAATAACATATAAAAGCTTTAAATAAATTCTTTTTGATTTTTTTTTCGAGGAAAAGTTGGTGACTTTTTTAATAAAGTGACAAAAACCTAATTTATACTATTTTGAACAAAAAACCACACAAAAAAATTGCAATAATGTCGAAACAAGAGAAACAAGATGCCGTACTTGATAGTGATGCCAATAATGTTGTTGTTAATAATGCCACCACCACTACAGACACTAATCATGTGAATAATGATAATAATGATACTGACAAAAGTTTTTACAGCCGAGTAATAAACTCCCGTTATTTTACACCCAAATTTCTGATTAGTATAGCGTTAGGACAATTTTTGTCATTTTGTATTACGACGACCATAGTTACCAGTAATGAATTATTTACGAACTATAATATCAGCGTTCCCACATTTCAAACTTTTCTTACCTATGTAGCATTGAATTTGATTTATACGCCACTAACCATCTACAAAAAAGGGTTTAGGGGTTGGTTGGAAATTTTTAATCTGAAGGATTATCGATTTTTAAAATGTAAGTAAATGATTAAAGATGATGGATGGATGGGTGTAGTAACGACAACAGCATTGTTATCGTTATTGTTATTTTATCGCAATTAATTATAACTAGATGATACATGTATATATATATATATATAATATTATAGATTTTGTGCTTGCACTGTTTGATGTTGAAGGCAATTATTTTGTGGTAAAGGCATATGCTTACACCTCAGTTCTTTCCGTAATGTTGCTTGATACGTGGGCAATCCCAGTTTGTATGTTATTATCAATATTATTCCTAAGGGTTGGATATCATTGGAGTCAATACCTTGGAGTGTTTATATGTCTTGTTGGTATTGGAGTATTGCTTGCAGGAGATCTTGAAACAGGACAAGATTTTAGTGGTGGTAAGTTATATATATATATATAGATTAAAAAAAAAACTGCAAATTTTTTTGGTTTATAATTTGTAGAACTTTTTTCCTTTATAAACAAAAAAAAACCCATTTATCAATTTAATAGCCGTGGATATGGGACTTGGTGATGCATTTTGTATCATAAGTGCAACACTTTATGGTGCGAGTAATGTACTAGAAGAATTATTTGTGAGACAAAGATCAGTGTATGAGGTGGTTGGACAATTATCATTTTGGGCAATGATTATCAGTGGTATTCAACTGTAAGTTGCAAATTTTTATTTGAAATTAATATATATATATATATTAAAAATTCAAGTGGTTTTTTTTAGTTCAATTTTAGAGCGCCAAGAAATTTCTGCTGTAGAATGGAGTGGAGGTAGTGGTAAGTAATCAAATAAACAATCAAATCAATTTAAATAATTTCAAAAATTTGATAATAAAATAAAATTTTTTCTCAAACCACACCACATCACACCACCTCACTTCATATGTTTAGTTGGAATGCTACTTACATACACTATTTCAATGGTGTGTTTTTATACTGGAGCACCAATACTCTTCAAATTATCATCAGCTACATTCTTTAATCTTTCTTTACAAACAAGTGATTTCTATTCATTAATATTTAGTTTATTATTATTCGGTGCCCAGGTAAATAAATAATAATAACTAGAATTTGGTTTTTGATAGTTCCTTCCACTAATTGATTATTATAATTTGTAGATGCATCATCTTTACCCTATATCATTTGTTAGCACAATCATAGGATTGTGTTTATACCATTACAATCCAGAATCAAGGCCTAGTTACAGTCCTCCTGCTTTTCTTTCTATCGGTAGGGATCACAGTGATGTCAAAGGTAACGATGATAATGAGGGCCGGAATTTTGATGAAACAAAAGCTGAGGAAAGGGAAGTTACTACTGATTTAAATGTATAAATTAATTGATTGATTTTAATTAGTTGAGGAAGAATATATACATATTAATTACGTTAATCATTAAAGGATAAATTGTATTTTTATTATAAAATAATATTTATATTTATTTATTTAATTATTTAATTAATAATTAATTATTATTATTAATGGAAATTAAAGAACTTATTTTTTGAATTACCATTAACATATATATATATATATATATGATTGAAAGAATACTTGAGAGCTTGGTAAAAATTAATAAAAAAATTTTTTTAAAAATAATCACCCGAAATTATTGGAAATTATTAGCTGAAATTATTGGTTAAAAAAAAAATAATAATTGCTAAAAAAAAAAAAAGGAGAAAAAAGATTATATACAAAAAAATAATAATAAATGAAAAAATGAATAAAACAAAATATGAAAAATGAGAAAAATAAAAAAAAAATGAGAAAATTAAAATATACAAAAAAACAACAATATGCAAAAAAAAAAAAAATAGTTGTTATTATTATTTACACATTCCATCACATTCCATCACATCCATCCTTAATTAACTTGCTACCAAATAATTATTGCACCGATTATTATCATTTACCCAAATCTTGGCAATCATTAAAAGAAATTATTAGCCCCTTCTTCCATAATAGGATCCAAATAGAGAGAACTGCGATTGCTACGAAGTGAAGCTCTAGATCCTTTAGTCTTCAATACTCTTGCATTATTATTATTGGCTTGTTGTTGTTGTTGTTGTTGAAGGAAATTAAAGTAATCGGTAGTTTTATTGTTATAATTATTGTAACTATTATTGTTACTAGTGGTAGTATTATAATAATCATCATCGATGTCTTGATTTTCTTCTTCATCCAATGTCGTTAATTGATCAGTTTCCATAAACAACATTGACAATCTTTTACTACCAATACAATTATTACCGTTGCCGGATTTAATAGAAGGTGAAAATTGAGTTTCAGCGCTATTGGATGAGGAAGAAGAAATCGACGATGGCGAAGTTGAGAGTATTGAAGATGAAGCAGAAGAGCCAGTTTCAGGTGGTAAGAAAGAGGACGGATATTTTTCGGTTGTATAAACCTTGTTGACATTATTATGATTGTAGCCATAAGAAGCAGAAGGAGGATAAGTAGAAAAGTGATGATAACTTGATTGAATGAAAGGTGAAGAAGGTTGATAGATGTTTGCAAAAGTAAAATCATTACTCAAAGAAGAAGCCAAAGAAGAGGAATTAGTCATTGTGTTATGATGGTTTCTGTTGATGGTGTTTCTGTTGATGGCATTGTTAGCAGAAGGAAATTGTTGTTGTTGTTGTTGATCATTAAAAAAATAAGAAGTCGTGAAAGGTGAGGCTGTGAAAGAGTTGGTTGTAGTTGTAGTATGCATTTTTTTATTTTTTAAATTATTTGTTTGATTTGTTTGATTTGTTTGATTTGTTTGATTTGTTTGATTTGTTTGATTTGTTTGATTTGTTTGATTTGTTTGATTTTGATTTCTTTGGGAGAAGAATGAACGAGTGAGTGAGCGAGCGAGCGAGCAAGTGGGTGGATGGGAAATGATTAATATTTATAAGTGTTATTTTTTTTTTTGAAGGAATTATTTTTTAATTAATAAAAAAAGAAAGTTTGATCGGAGATTAAATTTTATTTTCCTTTGCGTGCTTTTTTTTTCATAAAAATCGTTAAAAATTATGTATATATATATGTATATATATATATAGATATATATATTAGAGATATATAATAATAATAAATGTAGGAAAAATTTCAGAGAAAAGAGAGAGAGAGAGAGAGAGAAAAATTTCGCAAGTTTGTGTGTGGAAGAGGAAAAAAGATGGAAAAGGAAGAAAAGAAAAGAAAGGAATATATATAATAATATTTATATAATTAATTTATATTATAAAGTAAAAAATAGGGGTGATTATTAATATATCAAAGGTATTTATTTTCGTTAAAATATACTTATAATATGTATAAATATATGTAATAATAAAAAAAACTTTAATGAGGAACTTTAAAAATAGCAAATAATAATTACAATTACTTAAGGGAAAATAAGAAAACTAAACAACAACGTGAAAATTTAAATTAGATTTCAAGAATTGTTTTTTTTTAGATCAAAACAGCGTGATAACAAAGCGTAATCTTGATCTAAATTTACAAATTTGGTAAATTAGCAACAATTTACTATTTTTTATTTCCTTAGAGAGTAGAAAGCAAGCAAGTGTCAGTAAAATACAAAAAAAATGATAGTAATAGTGGGGTGGGTTGGTGGGGGTGGGTATGGGTGGAGTTTAAAAAAGCACGCAAGAGATTTGTAATTTTATTAATTAAAAAATAAAATGTAAATTTTTTAGGAAAATAAGTTATTTTTGATTAGGTCTTTTATATATTTGAAATATAACATTAGGTTTGTGATGATGATTTGTTTTTATCATCGGTAATTCTTTTATTATTATTACTATTATTGTATATAATTGTTAGATGGTTGTTGATTGTAGTGTGTGTGTGTGTGTGTTGTGTGTGTGATGTGTGTGATATTAGAATATTTATTATTATTATTTATTTATTATTATTAATATATTTATTTACTTATTAAATTTATTATTATTAATATATTTATTTACTTATTAAATTTATTATTAATTTACAACAAACAACAAATAATTCCATTTTCTATGATTTTTTCCATATTAATGATAATAATATTGTATTAGTCAGTCCATGAGCGAGCGGACAATAAAATAAATTTAACGAATTATATAATTTATCAAAGCTTTGGTTGGTCGATTGATTTTTTTGAAAAACCAACTCTAATTTAAACATATTAATATGTATGTATGTTACACCAAATAAATTTTGTAACTAAATAAAAACGTTTTTTTTTGCACAAGAATATTAAAGAGAAAAAGCCACGTGGTAATCAATTGTTATTATTATTATTACTGTATTACATATTATTATTATTTGGTAAGAAAGGTTACTTTATTTAAATTATTCCTTCTTATTATTATTATAATATTCCTTAGTATAAATATTATTATTATTACTATTATTATTATAAAAAGCGTCATAATAGAAATCATACATAAATTATTATTATCGTAATAATAATAATTTATAAATAAGTAAAAAGTAGATTTAGTTCCAAATAAAGATCAAAAGAACAAATTTTAAAAATTTTTTCCGATTGATTTTTTTGCCAGATTATCAAAATTTAAACTTTTATCATCATATTAATCAAATTGAAACTTTAAATTATTTATTCTTCCTTCTCAGTTCTTTTATCACATTCTTTGATTCTGTTATTTCTATAAAAATGGTAATTTTAACTATATAAGGTAATTTTTATATTCGTCATTCATTATATATATCAAACATTGATTGGTTTCATGTTAATAATAATAACAATAATAGCAATAAACATTAGAATCTAGTTTTAGTAAAACTGGTAGATATCACACATTAATATTTTAATGTGAAATGGCGAAAAACTCCGTTTCTCCGGAATAAATATATTCATATTCATGAAATCAGTTTATTATTATTATTATTACGTAAATAAAAATTAATTTCATTCATTACTTTAAATTTTAAATATTGCTTCGGATATTGTTAATATTAAAATATGGAACAAAAGATCCTTCCTCAATAACCAATTACATGATGGAATCCACGATATTTCAATAATGTACGTAATTTTGGTTTAGTTGGGTTTCTTCCATTTTGTTTTTTAATATTAATTTCAGGTTTTTGCTTTGAATCTATTTTTAGGAACCAGGCTGTATGTTCTATTGCTTAATCTTTTACCAATCAGTCACTCAACTGATAGCATAATGATAACTGCAAATCTCATCAAATAGGCGAATTTTTATTATTATTTCTTTCCCATCTAACTTATTCAATGTGGTCTTCTTATATAACTCAGGAAGCATTTTTGCTAATTTTGGTTTGGACAGTTCGAAATAAAGTTTCCTCTGAAGGAGTAATGGAGGTGTCTTCTTTTATTCTGTCGATCTTCTGCAAGTATTCCAAGTATCCTTCTTTTTTGGTTCCCTGTTCTCTCTCTTTCTCTCAAGTATTTTCCGACCGGAGCATGATTATTATTATTATTATTATAATTCTGAGAATCAATTTTTCCAAAATAGGATGTTCAAATTTCCTTAAAAAAAGATTCGAATTTTTGTTCTTTAAGAGCTTCTTAATATTATTCCACTGAGCATCAACTTTGTTATGACTGAAGCAATATATCACTGCATAGCCACCCTAAGCCTTTTGACACGATTGTAGATGCCTTTTGCTATTCTGTCTATCTTTACAACATAGAGTTAATAATAATTATATCTTTCAAGAACATCTAGTATTAATCTAAAACCTTCAAATTTTCTGGATATTTTATTGTTGCAAGGAACTGAACAATCATTATGAACTAAATCTCATAAGTTGTTCAAATCTAACCAAATTATCTAATTCTCAGTTTGTGTTTTTACCAAGTAATTTTATTGCCGTTCAATTTATGATTAGTAGTTTTTGCACTTACTTATGTCTGGACTGGTTATTTCGTTGTTGCAAAGGTAAGTTTGATAAATATAAATGATCTTCTAGGGTTTGTGCCTGTACCATTTTATCTTGATTGATACTGCTGTTCTTATTTCTTCTTATTCAGCTTGGAAATAGCTTTTCTTACTTGGCTTTGTTAGCTGATTTTTTCATGACAATTTGTTCGTCTATGACTTTGTCTACTCCTCATAGACCAACTGTTTAACAATCCTGGTAGGTTTAATTATCTTCTGTTTGAGATTTTCCAACTTCTTTTTCTTTTATTTTTTTCTAGTTGTTCCTTCGATCTAATTTTTCATAGTAATATTATTTTATACTATATACTCAATGTTTTCTACTTTCATAAATAACCGATATTTCTGTGGAAAATATGGGCATGGGACTAATTCATCATTCCGACTTTCAACTTCAAAGACAACAGTGGTTTAACGTGTCAACGGACAGACTGTTCCATCAAAAATTACATAGTTAAAAAATGCAGTTTTATCTCTTGCTGTCTCTTACTTGATATTTTAGCACTTCAATTCCATAGTTCTTTATATATAGCAAAGCCCTTCCGAGGTTTTAGATCTCCACATTTTTCAACTGTGTAGCTAAAGCGTCAATGATAAAGAAGTATGTGAATTGAACCATTATTTTAATTAAAAAAAAAAAAAAAAGAAATGTGTACTGCTAAAGCATATCCTGAAATTCATGTAGATACATCTGGCGCCTTGCTGGAAAGGTATTTTTGTTTACTAATCCCTTTGAACTATAACTGATAGTCACGGCACGGCTATATCGTAACTATGTCGTAACTCTTGGAAGGATTTGCCGTATTAGTATTGATGATGTGGCCAACACAAATTAGGCAAACCAAAAAAAATAACCTAATCACCAAGTAGTAACCCTTATTTGCATACGGCACTTGCTGTTATTTAGTGTAACCCTCAAGTGTTCATATGTTTATGCCTTTGACACTACTCCAACCTGACTCTACCCTATTTCTTCTACCCTGTAAAAAATGACATTCCAGAATTTTTCCGTTATTTCAAGCAATCTGGATTTTTTCCGTGATGTCATTTATTATTATTATTATATGGAATATGAGAATAAGATTTTATAGTTCTGAAGTAACTGATAAAGTCGCAAATAAAAATGGACCTTTTTTATTATTAAGTAACTGATAAATCCACAAATAAAAATGGTCATTTTTTTTCTTACAAAATATTTTATTTTTTAACTTTAACTTGATTAAACATACTAATACACTACTAATACGAAAAACACACGGAAAATACATTATAATAATTAACGCATGACATTTCCCGCAGGTTGAAAAATAATAAAATTGGATGATAGTAAAATTTTAAAATTTTGATTTGACGCGTCCCAATTACAAATACAAGTAGAAATAAATGCAAATAATAATATTTACACATTTAAAAGGTTTCCTTTTACATTTTATTCTTACATATATAATAACGATTAAAATAATTAGATAATATGAGCAAGAAACAATAATATACCAATTGTTGAATATTATGTGCAAGCTTTCTTTTAAATCTATTATCATTCAATTCGATCAAATACTTAGCAAGATATAAAAATATATGGTAATAGGCAAAGAACTATTTTTTTTTTTTTGAATTTAAATACTTATATGGTATTTCAAACAATCAAACCTGCCTATCATACAACTAGATAATGCATTCATCAAGTATATTTTACAAAACTTGCTTTCCAAGCTTTGTAGATCTCATCTAGTGTTGGTTAATTAATTTTAGAGAGATTCATAAAAAACGGTTTTATGAACCCAAGTAATGGTAACATGATTTTTTTTAATATTTACTTTTTTATTTTTATACTCATATATTTTATATATATATATTAGGAATGAAATAATTAAATTAAACGGTATTTACATGATTTCTTTTTCCAAAGATTAATGGTTAAACGAAATCAGAAAGAATTGTTATGTGGCCATATTTTATTTATTATTAATTATGATATATTCTTGTAATAACATTAATCACTTTGTTTAGATCTGGTGGTGTACGATCAGTAAGAATTGTTACATGACCATATTTTATCTATTATTAATTATCAAAAGTTCTAGTTGATATATTCTTGTAATAACATTATACTATTAATTATTAATCACTTTTCTTAGATCTGGTGGTGTACGATCAGTAAGAATTGTCACGTGACAATCAAATTAGTTATTATTATATGTGATTACTCATTGCTTTAAATCATTTTTTCTATATATTTTAGAAAGGGAACATGCAAACCAGCCTGCAGTAAGATTTCTATTTATTTATGCTTTCAATTTTAAAAAAATTTTTTAGTCAATTACAAATTCTATGGAAAACTTCAACAGAAAATGGGACTGGTGATTAAATCAAAGCTGTCAAATCACAAGGGTGATATAACTAATACATATATAACATATTCTTCCATTTTATCATGTTAGTAACATTTAAAGATGGGAACCGCAATTAAATTTCATATGCTGCAATTAGTTTGAGGAGTCATCTTTAATAGACCATTTGAAAATTTATTATTTATTAAATTTAGTCGAACTTTGTCATTTTATTAATAATTATTCAGCAATTATTTAACAATTTATCCGAACTTTATCCATATGAGAGAAGTTCCAGGTTGGTTGAACATCTATCTATTACATATATTCTGGACAAACTATAATTACATTACCGGTTTAAATTTGTGGTATAGATACATCGGGGCTGATAACAGTAAAATTTCTTGCATTTAAAAATGGCCATTTCAAACCATTTATTATTAATTATCTAAGGCACAAGAAATTGCATAAAAAGTTTTATGATTAAAAAATTTCTTTTTGAAAATGATTTATTTTGGAACGCCTTCTTAAAACTGCTGTATTTTTGATTTAGATATATATCTTTAACAGCTAATTCCCTTACTTCATTTTAACGTACCAAAAACCCGTAAATAATAATGAAAAGTTAAAATAAATCGTCTCTGTGGTGATAATTAGTTATCTTTATAAAGAAAGACATTCTTTCTAAACCATAATTCCATTGAATACATATATATATATATATTATTTTTATTTCTTATAGAATTTGGTTAGGACATAATAATTAATAAAAACTTTATATGCAAGCAATTTTACATAAACAATAAAAATTTCTATTACTGTCTTCACTTTTTTCAAGCCAAGAGTAAAACTCGTAACCAAATTGTATCAAAATCTTCACATACTTTATTTAATTCTTGTCTGGTTATTTCCTTATTTTCCTGCTTTTGTGTAGTTGCTGCCTGTTTGGATCTTTCATTACTTTTTTCTTTATTTTCACAAATAACAAATTTATCCATTTTTGAATACTTTTCAAAAGCTTTAATGTGAATGGAATGAATAAAAAGATATCTTATATTTGAAAAAGTTCATCAGAAAAAAAATATCGTGCGAACAAAAGTAATGATTTTTTATATAATAATAAGGAGTTGTGAACTGGCATTAATATATATTTATATATGTATATAATAATTTAATATTTTATTCGATCTAACTGAATCCCACACATTAAGCCACAAATTTATAAAATTTGGGTACACTAAAATTATACTCTGCAAATAAATTATTAAACTCAGAGCGAGCGTTCCGCACATATATTTTAGACACTGATCAGATATATATAACAATAGTAATATTTAATATATACATTTATTACTGTTGTGCGTGAAAATGAAATCTATGTGAATTTGCAATTCACGTACGTGAAATTCAAATTAGCCAATCAGAATTTCATATCCAAACACCCCACCCAAAATTTTAATTATTTCACATACAACATTACCAAACCAATAGAGATAAATATATTATCAATATTACTACACTGCTGAACTGATTTGATGATGAGACAGCTTGCTCAATTGATCCATTTAGCGCAGTCTTGTCAGTCAATTGTCCTAGGCTAATTGGCCTTTTGGACACGAGCTAATTGACCAGAAAACTAATTGGACATTATAAGTCCAATTAGCCCATAATGTCATAACATATCAAACTTAATTTACAATGAATTTTATCAAATAACTAAAACAAAATAATCTTTTAATTTATTTCATAATACAATTAAAACCAAATTTTCTCTTTTATCCATTTATTAGCAAAGTTAAATATGCGGGTTGCCCAAGAGAATCTTTAAATAGATGTTGTAATTTCCACTTTGCTTCAACATCATCGGCAGGATGTATAATGTTAGAGGTGTCAACAAATTCCAAGTCTTCATCTACAAGCATTGTGTTTTCTAATATATTTACACTATCCTAAAGGTCCATTTCCTCATCTTCAACTAATTCAATCCAGTTGCTTACCAATGTACACCAGTTGGAAACTGATTTAATATCACCATTTCTTATTAATTTTCATAAACATTACATTTATCATGATTTAATTATAACGTAAAATATTCAAAAGTGTTAAAGTGTTATGGGTATTCGAATATATAAAAATTATTTGACACCAATATGCTAATATTAATATTAATGTGAATATTCACATAAACTTACGAATTTTATGACATAAAAAAGGTTTGATTTTTATACTGTAATA